CTAACAGATGTTCCTGCATATAAAAGCTATCTACAACAACAATTGTTACGGTGTGAAGGTCTTTTCCAAGTTTATGAAATATAATAATAATAAAATATACTACAGAAAAAAAATTCACTGATAAAATAATATATTAGGCCAGATAATATTGTCTTATGAAGAGTATGATTAACATCTGAATTTTATCAACAGTGAGATGATCTGAAAAGCAGTACTTACCAGCAGAGCAGAATTCTGACACAATTTATTCTTTGTTATATGTGTTACAAATTCCAGGAAATCGTTAATAGCATTGTTATTCTCAGTTTTTTTCTCTTCTGTTAAGGAAAAAACTCTCATCACCAATAATTGTAGTAACTGCTGGGATAAATCAGCTGAAAATAACAATAGAAAATATATTATAATTTCCATTAAAAAAATTTTGGAAAGGATATATTTTATTTTCTTGACTGGAAGAATTTGGAAAACATATATATTACAGAATTATATCAGATCAAATTAGAAGATTAAACTTTTAGTTAATATCCAAGTAATTATCAGATTGAAAAGTTTACAATTGTAATCTTTTTTGAACTATTTCCAGATTTTACTTTCATAACACACACACAGTATTCATGCACCCAAAATGTGTGCTTAATTAATTAACATTGGTTTAAGTTATTCTAAATCTGCAAACATGCATACATTTTTTGCAGTAGAAGGTTGGATTTAGGAGACATGGTTTGTTCATATGCTACTGGTGAAAAACAATTAAGCCTTAGACAAGGTAGTTAGATTTATTGAATTGAAAATTTAATTAAACATACAACACTTGTAATTATTAAATAAAGAAAAGATATTTATACTGGGTGAGAAAGCCATCTTATTTTAGTAACAATCACTTAATATAAAATGTACAACTGTTAAGTTGCTAGAAAATTAAGCGAGTTTTTAATTGACAGCTATTAGTACATTACCTCTTTTCTGGACATATAATTTCCCTACAGCAGGTTGTAAACTATTACAGATAGGGAATTAATAATGGTGACATATCATAACAAAGCTGACATGCACAAATTTGACCTTTTTTTTTTTACAATACATAATTCCTTACCACCTGCTTTGTCATTACTATTTAGTTTAACAGAACTGACATGTACCAAACTGACCATCCTACAATACATACAGTTTCTTACCATATGCTCCATCATTAATTAGGTTTGACAATCCTTCTCTGACAGCTTCTAACAAAATGGCAGAATGCTTCACAAATGAAGAATCAGGAAGAAAGTGTTTAAGAGATGCTGAACATAAGAAAAGAGAACAAGTTCAATAGCTACAAATATGTTGTTTTAAATTAAACATAACTTAAAAAAAAAAGATCATCAGCATATACATACATATCTATATAATAATTCACCCATAAGAATATTACACAAATTTAACAAACATTCAACTGCAATAATTTCAAAAGTTCAAAAAGAACACAAGAATACTAGATTGAACACTTTTTGAAAACACATAGCCAACTAAATTTAATTAAAAATAGATAAGAAAATTATTAACTTACGAATTATCATGTGATGCTGTTTCTTTGTACTCCAAACAAAACCAGGAGATGACAACCGGGGTTTTTCTAATAGTCTTACTAAGATTTCACATCCAAGTCTTGAAACTTGTAGGAACTTTGGACTTTGAATTACAGAGCCATGGAACTGTAGACCTTCTGAGAAAAACAAATTTCATATTTTGTTGTTTCTTTTCGACAAAGGTAACTTGCACTAAATCATCCTTAACCCATTAACTGCAGCAGGAGCAGCTCAGTTGCCGTTTTCTGGCTCACAGATAAAACAGAGTTGCCATCAATAACAATAAAACGGTAATTTTCATCATTCGCATAGGGTTATAGTTATATATGTGCGACTGACGAATATTTTCGCCATTCGCAGCTGAGCCATAGAACTTCAATGACGGAAATATCCGTCATCCGCAGTTAATGGGTTAATTTAACTGATAGACTAGTGGGAAGGTGGCTAGTCAATAGCACATACTTCAAACTCTTGAGTTACTCAAATCAAATGGGATTTGATTGTCACCCTTATACTGTACTCAAATGCACTCTTATAATGGTCCCAAAGATTGTAGCATGATTTTGCAGCATAAGAACACAAACCATGGACCCTTTGATTTACAGTACAGCAAACTAATTGTTAGGCCATGTGCGGCTCTTAATAAATTTTCTGTTTTTTTAGAAATTTAAAATAAATTGTTTTGCTTGCTTATTTGTTATTAAGTACATTGGTGCACTATGGGCTATATGTGCTGTGTATCAAAACCTGATCTTTTGTGTAATAAATACTCTGACTTATTGTAAGTCACCAGGGGACATATCAGAATAGAAGTATAAGAAATGTAAACAAAAAAGTTTACATATGTAATTTACATTAAGCTTGTTTTTTTTTTTAAACAAGTTAAGATTTTAGTGAAGCTGTAAAAAATTTTCTAATTGGAAAGGAAAAAGACTTGTATGGACAATTGTTTGCAATGTAAAGAGTAAAAAAATACATAAGCTGTATTTTTCATAGAAACTCCACCTATACAAATGGTTATTCTTCAGTTTTTCTCCAACAAATGATTATTTTTGCTTCAGCATAACACTGAATCTTATCCCTTTCTTTCATTCTGTGACAAACCAGTACACCTGCTCTTTCACATTCTAGACCAGTGGTTCCAAACCTTTTTCACTGATGACACCCTAACCAACTTACTTTGATCTGTACAATACTACAGCAGCCACATGAAATAGTTTTTTTTATGTTCTTAATTACTCTTCATTTAGCAAAACTCTTGCAACACCCCTAGCAACATGCCATAACACAAGGTTTGGAAACCACTGTTCTAGGTGTTCAAATATAATTTTTGTGGTGATCAGGATTATTCTTTAATTAGCACGTTTTTACAACTTATATATAAGCTTATAAAGTTATAACTGTTTTATTTTTCCTCCTTGAAGGGATGTAAATTTTGAAACTTTTAGTTCTTGTGTCACAAGCCTCCCTTCTTAATCTTGTCTTCAAAGTAATTCAACTATACCATGTTTCAACAAGCACATGAAAATTATACCCGTGGTTGCATCATTATTAATAAGGATATATATATATATATAAAACCTAGCTTTCAGGATGACAGTTGACATTTGTGAGTTAAGAATTTTTTACTGTAAAAAAGGCTTGAGAAGGTTAAGTTTCGATGCTACAAAATAATACAACCTACCAGATCGACTGGAAGTAACAAGAGGCAAATCCTTAGTTTTTTGAAGTTGTGATGAAAAGCAAAACTGCAGAAGTGGGAAACATACCTGTAGGAATAAATATAAAAATACAACATATTTATGAAATGATGCTATTTCACAATAACAAGTATATTTCTAACATTTCGAACTCAGTCATGTTAATAAAATGTTTCATATGTTTATATAATCCCGAGTTTATACATCAAACGGCTTTATATTAAAAAGTTACAGTAAACGCTCTCCCTTATGATATAATTAGAATTTTTTTAGGTTAATCAATATGCATTGCATAATTGATAAAATGTAGCACTTAAACTAATCTTATTCACATTACCTCAAAAACTAATATATAAGGCAAACTTTAAATACTTTTTTGTGAAGTAGAATATTCATCATAGATTTTAAAATAAATATAGATAACTATATGAAGACTGCTGGCAATAAATGAAATATCTAATTATTCCCAAGTTTTTATAGACAAAAAAATCTTCTCTTGATCACAGTTACCTAACTTGGAAGATCCTGATTAAGAAGGAAATCTTATATACATTTTTCATTTACCTATTGTTTTTGTACCCTTTAACAAAAATATTTAAGCAGGTTGATTAAAAAATGAAAAAAAAATGTAACAACCATTGAATGACTTACCATAATTATGTTATTACATCTTGCGCAGGTTAGCCTTAAAATGATAATTCTTACATTTTTACAGAGTTTAGAATGACTTGTGTAAGCATTTTTGAAGAAAAACTATTTTTTTCTCAGTGATATTTCCCTTAGTAACACTGATGGACAGAAGTCAATTTTCAGCAAAAATTGCTCACACTAACCCTACAAAAATCAGTGTATCTTTGTTAGTACTTCTCTCTTTCAGAATTGCCCTACACCTTTGATTCCTCATAAAATAAGCTGTATTCTGATAAAATCTAAGATTTCAGTGGCTCAGAGTAGTTTAGCAAATATGTTCTGGTTAAGTCAGAGATCACTTATTAAACATAAGTTTTTGTGAGTATCACTCTTCTAAATCTTGCTACTATAACTAAATAAACTAACAGTTTGGCACAGAAGACTAAGCTAAAGTGTTTTTGAAAATTTGTACCACTGACACACACTACTTAATATTGCACTACTAAAAATTATATCAAATACAGCAAAAGTCAAAAGATTTTTACTTTTAAGCTAGATATTTTAACAACAGTATAATATGATTTTCTTACACTTTTACACAATTCCTGTTCCTCTAAAATCAGTCAATTACAACAAAAACATTTCTTTAGTAGTGGCATCTGAACTAAAAAAAAACTTGTGAACATACCATATCAAAATTATCTGGCAATTTTTCATCAAGACACCAAACTAAGTGCCACCATGTCCTTAATCTAACCACAGCAACAGACTCAGTCTTGCTGGTATTGGCCTTCAATGCTTGCAGGAGGAGTTTTAGTCTTTTGCCATTGTTAAGTACTTCTATATAAGGTACAAAGATAAATTCATTAACTTTTATCACCAAGAAAGTCTCCTCTATTTCTAAAGCATGCCATATCAAGAGTGTCTGCTTCATTTTACAACTATTACATACATTTGCTAAAGAAGTCTATTTCATTTTATTGACACTCTATTCTGTCTGAGCATATTTACAAAATTTCTCTTTAACACTTCATTCTCAGGATTCTGTGTGGTAGTAAAAGAAAGTTTAATTGTATTCTTACAATTTTTAAACCATTTAAAATTTCATAAAATTAATTTATGCTTTTGTTTCAGTAATATAAAGCCATATTTGTGTATTTAAAAATTTCTACAGTTTCAGTAACATTGTCTTACTTCTGAACAAATTGGTTCTGCTTAAAGGATACTATTGTATTTGCACATCTAAAAATGTATGTTCTGTTCCATTAAATCTATCAAATATACTACAAAGGATTTTCTTCATAAAAGTTATTATATTCATGTAGAGCTTTAGAACTTTTTCTCCATTACAGCCATATTTTACAATCATATTCATAATATATTAAACAAACTTTTATTATCTGATAAATCATTCTTCACAGTTTTTAGTTCTTGCAATAACCAATTGTGGTAGAATAATACTTTATCAAGGCAGAAGATTACTGAAAAAGTGCAAGAAGTTAAAAGCTTTCAAACACCCCTATTCTATACAAAATGGTAGAATACAGTGTTAAAACTTTCACTGAAACTTTATGCAAGTACAGAATTAAAAAAAAAAAAATCCCTTGTGTTGTGCACATTCTATAGCTTTTGAGTGGAAACAATGAATTCTGAACTTCTATTAAATGTAAATAACAAACAACAAATTGTTAAGATATCTTGTAATAATCAAACTCACCAACATTTAAAGTAAAATTGTCAATGAGTTCTCTCCATGCGGTTAATGCGGAGATCTTAACCTCCACAACATTTGACTTGAATCCTCTTTCAATGACTTCAAGAAGAGCATTCATTAGTGACTTTCCCTTATGAAGATTCTGTATAACAGAAAATAAATACTTCAGTGGCATTAGAAAAAATTGTACCTTTTTTTTGTTATATAAAAAAATTTAAACTTTAGGTTATTTTTGAAAACTTGACAAGCATGGTACAGTCACAAATATCAAATTCAACTCAAATCACTGCAAATTACTTATCCTTGAAACACTAAATAGAAAATTAAAGATAGTGATTCTTTTTATTATATTTGAAGTGTAAAATGTATTAATGTGACAATCACAGAAACAAAATGAGTTTATACTGTGTTATCTAAATCACCTAGGAGACTGCATGTGTGTGTGTGTGTGTGTATATATATCTATCTAGCATACACATACATATTATGTTGACTAATAATTATACCATAACATTTCCCAAGTTTTTAAATTTATTTTTCTGTATGTTTTCACAGCTCCACTTTTAACCTCCAAATTTATCCAAAAAGAATCAAATTTACACATAAAAACAAAATTACACTTACTGTTCCCATCACTCTAACCACATATCCCCAGATCTTTAAAACATGTTGCTCTTGTTTGTTCTTGAATAACTCCAACATGTCTTTAAGCAAATGCTAAAACAATAATTTTTTATACTAAGCTTAGTACATGACAATTCAAAAGTAAAAAGCAATAAAGGATTATTTCTACATATTTAAAATATAACAGCTTTTTCTAGCAACCTACTTGTGAATGAATAATGCTTCATCAATGCTTAATATTCTTGACAAATGACTAATGTGTCTAAACATAACTAAATAGCAAGGTAACAGACATATAAAAAAGTCAATGCAATATATCAAAGTACAAATTAACTTCTTTATTAGAAGTTTGTTTTCCATTATAAAAGCATTTTATCACATTTTTCAGAAAAGAGTGAGAGGCAAAACTGATAAAAACAATTGAAGACAGAAAATCTAATTAATGTCATTAAGAATCACTATAATGACCAACAGTTGTTTTATTTCATAATAGCATCTATCAACAGTATCCTTTCAATCATGAAGCTGAAGTTGGTCTAGATAAACTCTTAACATTCTACTTAATTTTAAAAATGTAAATGAAAACAATATTACAAGAAGCTACTGTTGTTTCACTACATAAAATATAAAACTATGAAAAACTGTCACATTCAACAAATGAAATTAAAACTGTTACAACTTAACGTACTATTTTTATAATGTTTTAATATGATCCACAAACCAAATGTTGTGTTAATTAGACAACATATTTTTCTTACACTTAATCACTGTGCGTGTACCTTACTATAATATTAACAACACCTATCATTATGAATATGGCTGGTTTATCAGAGTAGAAAAAATTACTGGAAGTACCAAACTGTACTTTATCTGCTAAGTTTAAGTCAATATATTCAAACACATCTATGCTCCTACTCAATAAGTTATAAAACTATCTTATACTATCACCAGACATTAATGTTCAAATTTAGGTTTGACTAACACTGAACAACATCTTTCTTTGAAAAATCCAGTACATCTATTGTTTCAGGACTAAATTTTCTTCACTTGCTCTCTCATGACATTAACACCAAATTTATGCATTATGCTATGCATTTCAATAGTTTACTTCATTTTAAAAATTTAATAACTTACATTGGTGAGAAGAGTTGTAAGAGCTGGCCCAACAACTTCAGAATTGGATGATATAGTTGTAATTGTGCTTTCCAAGATGTTAGAGGCAAGTCCTTGAATTTTTATTGCAGGATGACACAAGGGAATAAACACTAGGTGTGCCCATTTAGCAATATGGAATGCAAGTTCAGTGTGATAGTCATTTACAAGTCTGCAAAAACCAAAACTCCCTTATGATCTCTACACTTTTGTACACTGAAAAAAATTACATAAGTAACCTTCTTGCAAGAAGCACTAGAAATACAATCTGCAACAACATTTTAAAAATATGAGATACACACTTATATATATAATATATATAATCATTTAATAGATACCTAACATTCAAATTTAAAATGGATAATTCTAAAACATTCACATGTATATATATCTGTATGTGTGTGTGTAAATGAAACTAAAAAAATTAACTAGCAAAAACAAGTATTTTGATTCTCAAGACTTATGTACCTCATTAGCAACTCACAAGCACCATACAAAACAGTTGCAGAATCTCGATGATTGATGCCATGATCCACACAGGACAGAAGATTTTCTATCTGTGATAAATAGAAAAAATTTCACAAACAGAAAGAAACAAAGTCACAAAAGAATAATGATATGGAAAATCAAGAGTAATAATTTGAAAGAAAATAAATGTCATTGAAAAATCAAAGTACAGATTTTGGGGTTTTTTTGTGCCATAATTTCTTTATCATTTGCTATCACAGAAAAAACTACAAATATACAATTTTTATATCTTGTACTTACAACAAAACTACTGTTTACTACTTTACTAACTTAAAAGCTATCTGCTGCACAAATATATAAACTAAACAATTTACTTAAATACCACCTCATTTATATTATTAGCTAAGTTAAATATTTTCTATATCATAAAATAACTAGATTAATAGAAAAGTCACATAGATTAAGAGAAGTAGACAGTTATAAGATACAATGTTACTTCTTCCAAGCATGAATTGGACAATGCTTTTTCACTTACACAATAAACGATAAAATAGTTAAAATTATTCCAATTGTTAGAATTAAATTTATGTTTAATTGTTTGATATTCAATTTTATAGTTGCATAAAATGTCATGTAAATAAACTTAACTTAAAACAAAAACAACATACTAATTATGCACGAAAACATACTTTTGAAATATTAAGTCATGTGTTGTTATTTAAATACAGAGAAAATTGTGTATTACTTGTCAATTATAATTTTGATGTTACAAAAGACATGTCATAATAAGTTAGCATTTTTAGTTGTTGAATTTAGATACACTACAAGAACAAAAACTCTTTTAATCATTTTACTACATAAACATTAAAATTCTAATTTATAATATGAATAAGGAAACAAGTATAGTAAGAGGAAAAAATTATACATTTTTAACTAGCTGCTGTTGATGTTAGAGCAGCTTGGTTGTCCCTACTTTTTCTTGAAAAATAACTTCTCACCTTTTCTTTGTACACCTCATAAGAAAGCTGAATTTTGGAGAGACACCATAAAATCGTACTGCAAATGACTTTATCTTCAGTTTGGACACTCAGTTTACATAAAGCTGAAAAAATTAAATAATGACATATTGTTAAAAAACAATTTCCTAAACTTTATTTTTACCTCTACTGTGCACTTGTATAAGTCTACCTACATGTGTCATGTTACTAGAAAAAATCATTCAGTATATCTGATGTCAAAGATAATTTTACAGGGCAAATTAAAGGAAGAAACTGCTGTTAAGGTTTTCAGTAAAAAAATATTAATTAACTTCTGATCAAAGCAGCTCCCTACATAGAACAGAACTAAAAATACACCCAGTACTAAGTATAGTTAATAATTAAATATACTGTTCTGAAATTCTTACTTATTATGATTAAAATTCATTGTTTTATCAGTTAAGTACCCTTACAGTTAACAATATTTTTGGTTGTAATCCCAATAATGGCTCGAAGCTATCAGTGCAAAATAATCTTTATAATGAAAAACTAACAACTAACTTTGTAACTAACTTACAAATAAGATTTTTAGGTAAGAATAATATTTTTTTTTCACTTATTTTGACACTATTTATTTTATTTACCATGAACCACAGTAGTGGTTCATAACAGGGATCATCCATTTGTTGTTCTTTATTATTATTATTTCTTATTGTTCCAATAACCTACAGCAAAAATAGGCTGTGAGTATTGTAATAAAATCTGGGCAATATTACTAAAACATCATTGCACATTGTGTAGGGTAGTTTTAAGTTCATTTCACTACCTAGAAAATAACAGCAGCTGTATAACCATTCACACCCAATCATTTTAATGTAGTGTATGCTTTATATGGAGCCTCATTATCTACATGCACATGTATATAGCTCCATGCAGGCTGTGGATTTAATTTAATGTTTATATGGCATGCATGAAACATGTACCATAGCAATTATTAAATTACTGTCGCAACTGCACTGATGTTATGTATCATTTGTTTACATATAGGGTTGTTGCCCTTTCAAAGATGAAGCTGCTGAAAGGAATAAAAGTTTTTTACCATTTTGACTATGTTAGAAAAATTATCTAAATCATAACAAAACATCTAAACTGTCCCCCACAACAAAAATCTTTAAGCTCAGTTTCGAGCATTGGATCAGCAGTGATGGCTGAATCTCCTAAATATTACAGCTTTTAAACATGGAGTCAAAATAGGGATTTTTAGCTTGAGGAAATAATGGCAACACTATGTCTCAAACCTTAAGCTTGTTCATTTACTTCTCTGGCAATTGCATTTTCACTTTAAGCTACCTATCTTGTTTCTGTAATTTTTTGAAGATCCCTATTCCCTCCTTTCTAAATTAATAGTTTCTAATAATCTTGTATATTATTTGAATTAACTTTAATATGATTCACAAGAACTAGCAAAGCAGCAAGAATGTTCCATATTAAGTAATAGTGTTTCTCATTTTAATTATTCACGATGGGAAATTAGAATCAAATCGGGTCATGCCCATTAAAACAGTATCAATCTTTAGTGCTACAATGAAGTTTAAATTTTACTGTAAATTTGTTTTAATAAAATATTTTGATACAGAATTGACATTCACATACATTATAAATGTATGATACTAAGTGTACATGTAGTTTCAAAAGTATAAACCTGTGTCATTCATGGAAAAATAATTATTCATTAATAAACACAAGTTAGATGTACACTCACCTTCAACTATCTCTGTTTGAACCAACTTGTTTAGTTTCCTGACAAAAAAAACAAAGTAACACTGTAAACGAGCTACTGGTGGTTAACATATCAACATACAACAAGCAGAAGGTAATTGTCAAAGTATGGTACATAAAGTAATACTGTAAACAAGCTACTGGTGCTTAATATATCAACATACAACAAGTATAAGGTAAGTGTCAAAGTATTTTCAGGTAAGAAGTACAGAGGAAGTTAAGAACATGAGTATCTTGAAGGTAAAACATAAGAGATTTATATAAACATTTAGCTTCAATGAAAAGAAAATATTATTCATAAAATGTCATTTTAGCTTTAAAATTGTTAAGTCCTTTTACGATGTCAGCTACACATCTTTTTCGAGATAAAACATCCATGTCTACAACTGAGATACACATCCAGAAAATTTTTTAAAAGTTGATGTTTTTTCCTTCAAGTCTTATGAATATCAACAGTAATATTGAAGTCAATTTTAAAAAGCATGCCCTTTGAGCTTATCATTTATCCAATCCACAAAAAAATATTAAATCATGCTTACTCTGCTAGAGTCCTATGTATTAAGACAAGGCCAAGCACCTTAATAGCTTCTTGTTGCAAAGATTCATTATCAGCAGAAATATCCCTCAACAGACACTGACTAAGCACTATTACATGAGGTTCAAATTTATCTAGACTGCTGCTGTCTTCTTTCAAAATGCTATAAGATGACAAGAAGATTAATCACTATAGTGAAAAACAAATTAATGAATAACAATCAACAAGTATGCTGTATCCAAAATCACTAAATACAGACTTCAGTTGCACAATATGGTAAACAAAATATGGCTGCTTCACAAAATTATCACAACTATAAGTTTTCAAAATAACAAACAGTCAATTTTTATAATACATTTTTCAAAAAAAATGTTTATGGTCTAGATAATCTCCCATCCTTAACTACAGCCCATTAATCACCTGTCTACAAATTTTTCACAATTATCAGAAAAACAAAAAACAAAAACTTGAAAATGTTGTGGATTTTGGTTGATTTTATTACACTTGATAACAATTGATCAAGACAGAACCCATTAATGCAGTTTAAATTTAAACCATTCAAATCACTGTGAAAGTAATGCTTCATCGAGGTAAGGCTCATTCATCAAAAAATACCCGTATCAAAGTAGTAGGAAAAAAAAAAAGCCAAAAAACACAGAAGGTAAGATTAAACTACACCACACTATTTATTGCTGCAAGCGTGCATGAAAGTATTGCTATAAAACTGCAAAAGTTTGTTTCAAATGCAAATGACTTTAACATATGTAACCTCAACATTGAATGGTCTGACTTTCTTCCAAATTTGAATTTCTTGCTTTCTTACAGAAGCAGAGAGTTAAACTTAAAACTTGTTAACCTGGTGAAATGTTGTAACCATAGTTATTATACTCTGTATATCTGACAATAAACAAGTTTTAGATAACAGGATACTTCCTTTAATTATTTAGAAACAAAGAGTGACTTTAAATTTCTGCCTAGTTGTTTTCCTTCATTTTTTATGCATAAATTGTAGTGATTTGATACTTCATGCCTATCTTGTCAACATGTTTATGTTTCATGGTTATTTTGTTTTAATACTCACTTATATAGTGTAGAATTTTAATTGTCAACATTTCTCAAAAACCTAAAGCTATTTAAATTTTTATGGAATTCTTTCAAGAATATTTATATTCATTTTTGAACAATATAAGATTTTTTCCCAAATAACTAGCAAACCTCAACTGCTTTTTGGCTGTGATCACCAGAAACAATAAAGAATGGACAGCAAAATATGAAAGCATGAATGGAGAGAAAACTAAATACTTGCTCCCAGATCTTTCAGCCATCAAGTAAGGTACAGGCTCAAAAGCAACTGGTGAAAGACCCAAAACATCATATTCTTGATGAATCAACTGAAAAAAACAAATCAAAATTTGTTCAGGTAAGTTTGTTTTGTTAGAGAAAAGCAACGTTGGGCTATCCATTGTCTCCAGTTTTAGGAATTGAACCCCAGATTCCAGCATTGCAAGTCTGTAAACTCACCACTGTCCCACAGGAAGACTGAAAAACCAACAGACTAAATGAAGGTGCAGGAAAAAGCAAATCTAAGTTCTAAATTCTCTCCCAAAAGTCAAGGATTGCTCGCAATTCCAGCCTCAGAACACTATCAGAAGTGGGATAGGAGAGACCTGAATCGCTTATGTGCCGGAAATAATAATCTGGGAATTCATACCCTAAATCAGCTTGCTAATCATTTAAAAAAAAAGGTAGAAAATCAACAAGGTAAAACGAGAATGTTCAAAGTATCTATGAACAATTGCAGTACTGAGAAACTCGTTAGTGACACTTTGTCGAGAAAAACTGAGAAGATTATCTGAATGGAGTGCTTATATACAGTACCGGGATATAGGGCACACTGATGTAGGTGGAGAGTATCATCAGACAAATATTGCCAATGGCAATTAAGTGGAGTGTGAAACACTGGGGCAAGCGAGAAAAAATCAAACCAATGCTTAGATGGACAAAGGAAAAACCCTGTCAGTCGAGTAATAGCTGTAAGTTTGAGAGGAGGTAAGTATTATTGGAAATACTTTTTTGATTTAAGAAAATGTTAACTTTCAACCAACTTTTAAAAAAAGAATAGAGCTCTCTTGGAAAATATGTTTCATTGGCCATTTTCACACACACACAGAAACAAATAGGATTATTTTCAAAAACAAATATAGGGTAACTGGGAGGCCTAATCTCAGCCTAACACAGATGTTATGATGTTGAGAAGTTCTTTTAATTATTTGTCAAGTTTCACAGTATATACAATACATAAGCAATTACAAAGCACTTCAGGCTTGATTAGGTAGAAAACAAAAGGATATTAATATGACCATACTTACATCACATGCTGCTTTAAGCATTTAATGCTTTTGCAAAGCTATTTTTCATTAATATGATAATATTTTCATTTTAAGGTAATCATGTTTAATCAGCTGTGTTAATAAGATAAAGTGTGATGTAGACAAAACAAATAAATTGTATACACTACAAAGTTGATTCATAATGTTACAAATAAATTAAGCTGAGATTTTTAGTTTGTTTGAAAAGATATTGAACGTAAAGGGGCATTTTGGCCCATCAATGTTGTCATTACTCTGAACTTCCCCAACAAACAGAAACTAATCACTACATCCATCCCTGATTCCCTAAATATTCAACCTTTTTCTTAAACTACTTTCAAATTGTACAATTCTAGACAGCAAGACTTTGTTCCACATATTTACCAACCTATTGGTGAAATAAAACTACCCAAACTAGGGATGGTTTGACCTTTCCAAATTTTAAATTCATAACCTCTTGCCCTACTCCCTAAGGATTCAGCATGAAAAAATTTGATTTCTCATTCTTATCATTTCCCTTAATACTTTTTAGTATTTTAATTAGATCACTCTTGACTCCTCTCTTTTCAAGATAAAACAAGTTAAGTGATCTCAACTTATTCTCATATTACAACTCATTCATTTTTGGCATCATCCTTGTAGCTCATTTTGAACCCTCTCCAATAACTATGTCCCTAATAAGATAAAATGACCAAGATTATACATAATATTTCAACTGAAGCTTTACTACTGACTTTATGAATTTTTGTAAATTATGTATAACTTGTATTACAAAAACTATGTACATTTCCCTACACTTATCCAAATTAAATACCTTCTGCTATGTCTCTCCAACTAACTACCCAATCTAGGTCTCTTCATAAAATCCTATCATTCTCATTAAAGTCAGACAGACCGAAGATTTTTATATAATCAGAAAACTTGGCCAATTTCCTGACTGTCTCTATCAATGTTATTAATATAAACAAGAAATAGCAACATTTCTAGCACAGATCTCCGAGGTACAATACTTGTAACATTAATTCAGTTAGACTAAACTCCATAAATAACTTTATACTTTCTCCCACCCAGCCAACTTTCAATCCATTTAACTAACTTACCTGCTACTATGCTAAATGATGTAATTTTTTTCATCAATCTTTTATTCAACACTTTATCAAACTTTTTTTTGAATACCAAGTAAATGAAATCCTCTCCTTTATCCTTATCCAGACACAACATTCTAAAAAATGTTGGTAAGTAAGCAAATCAGGATTTTCCCTTTTTAAAGTCACAGTGGTTGTATGACAAACTATTGAACTATTTAAAATGATCCTGCAAAGCATCTTTTTTCAGTTTTCCTACTAATTCTAAATTATACTTAAAATAATAATTTTTATACATAATTATCATTAACAGTTTAATATAAAAGTCATTATACAGGTTTTATCAATTTTACTTGTTTAAAAATGATGTAACTTCTCAAGAAAATGGTTAAATAGAAATTTAGAGAAAAATCAACATAACATTTCAGTTCAAGTAAAACCTGAATAAGGTACAATAATGATCTACAATTTAACACTTAATTACCTGAACAAGTTTTTATATAAGTGCACAAAGTCTCGATCTTCCTCACTTTGGAGCTGTTGTATCAAAAAGTTCGGATCCATGGTTTATCAGTTCTGTCAGAAGACACTCAATAAATTATTCTCTGCAAGAAACCAGAACAAGCTAATGACTAAAAAGTATCAAACAAATAAGAAAGATGTTAAATGATTGTGAAATGTTTTAAAAGTTAACATTTTCCTTATCTGAAAATGTACTTCTGATAGATACCTCTTGACACAGAAAACTATCTTCCTCATATGTCTACCTTAGTAATTTGCATGCCATCAGTCTTTAGGAAACTCCCACCTAAACCCATTAGATTTCTTATGATTTGCATCACTGCACAATGACATCATTATGCAGCAAAAGCCCTCCATCAATAGAAGGGTGATACAGCCTCCTTGCACACTAGCTCCCTCTATGCTTTTGCACTCATAATCTTCATTCTATGATGAGGCAAGGAAAATTAAGTTGCACTTGAAGTGAGGAGGAAGAGTGGAAAGTGTGTGAAGAGGCAAGTATCTATCGGAAGTTATAATTTTCCTATACTGAAAGCATATTTCCGATAGGTACTTACCTCCACTCACATAATTAGCTATTCTTGTTCAGTGCTGCCCACTATATGCAATTTTTTTACGCGTGCTACAAGCCTTTTGCCTCCCCTCCTTTGGAAATGACTCATTCCAATGTATCTCTCATGCAAATCATCATGTGACATCCCTCCAACAATAAGAGTATCACACACACTCTGATTATGCATGTGACTCCCTCTATTCAATTCTACCAAAATTAGTTTTGGCAGAAAATGGAAGCACTGATTTTC